CACATTAAAAAATTTAAAAATAAAAAAAAAATTTAAAATTTAAAAATAAATAACTGGATAAACAGTATATAGTCACTGCATACCAATTGTACAAATAAAATGAACATAAAGGGAAAGGAAAATACATTTACTTCACCACAAAATACATTTTCTATATTTAACACAGGAATGGAATATATCTCACAATACAGAAATTATTCTCTCCAAATACTTGTGAAAGAGAGAGGACAGATGGAATAAAACGCTTTTCTTGCCCCTTTGTGGTGTCACAAGGTTATTTAATGAACAGGTTTCTACTATATCCCCCTTACTAAAAAGTCAAAGCCTTTAAGGTTCAGTCTTTGGTAAGAAATGGCAGGAAAAACCTTTCACACATACAGAAATGGAGAAAATTGCAAAAGAAAGGGAAAAAAGCCCCCTTGACAGATAAGCAATAGCTCTGCTTACACAGTAATTTATGGTAATATCAGAAAGCTTTTGATAAAATTCACACATATTGCAGGGTAGGACATTGAAGAAGATAAAGGACTCAAAGAGATAGGTGGAAATTAAACCATTTATAGGAGGGGGAAGTATTTTGTTAAAAAAATGGCAATTGGTTTTGATAGTCATAACAATTTATGTAATTTCTGTGTGCATTAGGCACTTGCGGTATGAAAAAGTGACAGCCTAACATTTTCCCCATTGTTGCAAAAAGTCATTTTTAAGAATAATAAATATGCAAAGGTGTATATGTGTAAGTTTTTGTGCACACATACATATGTACACACACACTCACACATGTACTATCATTCCCAGGCATGTACAAAACAATTGCAATCCAGTAATGCTTGTAAGCTAAATTTCTATCATTTGACTAGTTTAAATTTCTATCATATGATTAGTTTAGAACTTTTAAACTATTATCTTTATTTTATTTGATAGCGAATCAATGCTCCAATAAAATAATTTTGCCTTTGGGGGTTAATATTGAAAAAGCAATTTAAAATATAGTCCTATAAATATTGAAAAGGATCTTCATACTAGATACACAGTAAATAAATGAAGAAATATTCACACAACTTGCTACTTCCTTTCTTGTTATCTGAAAAATAATGAGCTTTAATTTACATATTTCTCCATCAACCCCAGTAGCTTTTTTGAAGGTCAAAGCTTGGATATACTATATTTGTTATTTGACAAAATTTTATATTTTGAATTTTAAAGTGTATTCGTTGCTCTGCTTTTACTTTCTATATCAAGAGATATACGTGGCATACATGAATTTTTTTTTATATTTTTCAATGTCCATTTTCAATAAAGTAACTGACCTGCCTTTCTAGGAATTTCATTGTCATAGTCATTCTTACTCATTGATTACCAAATTCAGTTTCTGACCACAGTCATTATAAAGACCTTCACCTTAGGAAGCATAAAAATATTATGCCATTTATAAAAAGCATATTATGAGAACTCTGGTTATTTGTTTGTAAGAATACTAACAGGAAAATTTGGAAAAAAGAAATGCCAGTCTGTCTCATTTATCACTAACCAATTTTTCCTGAGGCAGAGCTTTAACGAGTAGTTCTAGAAACTTCTTAAACAATATGTGTCACTGACTGGGATGGCTGACCCTTTCAAGCTGGCTGATACTATTCAATAAAGATACTATCAGAGTCTGAAGTAACTGGTTTAAGTTTCTCCAGTGTTTTGAGGAAATATTTTGTGAGAATGGGAAGCGTATTTTAATGCCATTCACATGTTTTCCTGAGAATGAAAGCTGATCTGCAAGGGCGTTGAAAGCATTACAGGCTAATTTCATTGCAATTTCAGAGCCTGAGAGGCAGGTTGGGAGAATCAGGAGGAAGGTGGGGGGGGTTGGGGTTGTTCAAGAACACTGAGGTGAACACTGTTGACCCATTAGAAAATCACTAAGTGCTGAAACTCACTCTAGAAGCTCATGTTTTCAGTCTTTATAGCAATTGTGTAACTCTTGAAAATTTACACTGTCACTTTATTTATAGCAGATGTCTCTTAAAGCAAACATTTTTACTTTATACTATACAAATCTTATGGAAAATTGCAAACATAATGTGAAGTTCTGGTCATGCTGTAGAAATCTACAGTATTTTCTATAATGGATTTGAGCAAGGGGAAAAAACTGATACTGATCTAAGGCTGAAGGATAAAGGGTAATCAAAACAAGCTTCTGCAGATGCTTTTATGAAACTTGTTTTAAAAGAAAAGGCAAAAGTTGAAACTGGATTAAACCAACTAAATTAAATCATCTTGTATTCAAAAAACATTCTACACTTCAGAAAGCAGTGACCAGAAGCCAGCATGAGCCTTAGGAAAGACCCTTAGTTGTGTGAGCTATAAAAACTTTAAAAAAAGAAAATTTAAAAAGTTTTCATTGGATTTTCCTAAGTAAAACTTGTATTTGTTTCTCGTGCATCCAATGAAAAATCTAAACATTTCTTTTTATTTTTCTAGATAGTTCTGAATTTCAGTTCTCTTGTAACTTAATTTCGGGTACAGTGATCAAAATACATTTTGGGCACAGTGTTTTTGATGAAACAAAAAGGTGCAGCATCTGAAATTTAGCTATTTTTAGAAACAAATATTATGTACAATTTAAGAAAAGAATAAAATCTGCCTAGAAAGGCACCCCAGGAAATACAATGAAAGAAAACAAGAGATATTATAATTTACAAAAGTAAATATTATAATTTACAAAAGTGAATGTCAGCTTTAATTATCTGAGGCATAGTCCATCCAGCTCCAAATATTTACTCCTATAATTGCTCTCCTAATGAGAGAATTTAAAAACAGAGAATTATATAAATTTTGGAAGTTGAAATCCAGATAAGTAAGACTAATCTTTCTGAGAATTTGCTGTTCATTATGCATGGTTTGTAACAATACACATTTCAAAAAGGAAGTCATAAAAATAATGTGGCTGTTATATTTTCATGTCTTTACTGAGAGTTTAACCAATACAACAGCATAATCTCCTGGACTTCAAAAACACAAATCCATGACAAAGACATTAGATTAATGGAATTTGTAGTCATATATTTTTAACATATTTAATAAATTATCATTTCAAGATCAATATTCAAAATGAACCCCTGTGTGACAGTGTGTGGATTCTATGCTGTTTTGCATAAACGTCTGCAGAAAATTTTCACACTCTTCACAATTTGCTGATGGTGTTTCAATGGGTTCCTTACTATTATAATTCTGGTCCACAAATGAGGGTTGAAATATCTCTAACCTTTACAAATGTTTTATGTGGTACCATTGACATAGCTTTTATTGCAGATAAAATCTATGACAAATTTTCTGTATGACAGAAGAACATGATTTCATATTAAATTGTGATGATGGAGACATATTTCTCTGCTTGTACTTCTGAAATGTTTTGAATATAGTAACAGTGGGCAATACTTCCTTGTCTATTCATCAATAAAATCTCTACATTTACTTCATTTTTAATAGGTCTAGAGCTTCAGTAAATATTTCTTAAGAGAACTGAAAAATAGTGGAAAAATGTTGAGAATCCAGTGCACTTATAAAATTTCTGATCAAAACAGACAAAACTTTCAGCTGGTTAGACATAATGAGAAGCAGAAAGAGGAAGCCACAAAAGAGACTAGAAATTGAGTGTTTCCATGAAGGTATATAAGAGCTCAAGCAAAAGTTTCTCAAATATAAGTGTCAAGATAATGGTAGGTCCCTCTGACAGTCATTTCAAAGAAAGAATAAAGCCTATTATAGTAACTTTTATAGAGTTATAAAAGCACCTGAGTTTTCAGGGAACCACAGACTTGTAAAATGTTTCTGACATTCTATCAAAAAAATTAGTATTATGACATTGTCATAATACAAAATCATAGAGTCAAAGAATGATTGGAAGTAAATCCATAATAGCAGATTTTCTTTATCGAATTTCACATTGCATTCCAGACATCTTTCTCCCTTCTACCCTCAGATTTAGTGATCAAGAGAGCACATTATTTTTCTTGATCCCTTTTCCAGAAAATCTCTTGGAAAAGAAGATAATTTTGGATGGTCTATTTTTTTTTCAGGTTTTAGATGTGAAGAGTCTCAAATGTGTCCATGTTTGAGGACTCTTTGATATGGTATTGATCACCTCTCCAAAGTTAGGAGAGCATATCCCTTAAAATTGCCAGGATACATCACAAACTATGTCACGGACTTGGTGGATTGTATTAAGATCTTGAGGATCTGCTGCACTTGAGCCTCCATCCATTGCCTTAACTGCATGTCACCAGAGACTGCCCTAGACTCTTTAGGGAATAGGCCTTTAATCATAAGATTACCTTAAACCAGACCTACACTTAACATTTGGAGTAGCCAACAGTCATATAAATATGAGCTTCCCCCCAAAAAAAGGTAACATATGGCTTTAATTTTATTTAATTTATTTATTCTTTCAATTTATTTAAAATAAAATTCCTCACCCATTGCCTAAGCCTTTGGGCACATGTGCATAATAAAAAACATTGCTGAGCATAAATAATGTATGTTAACTGTGTCTATTAGGATTCCCCTCAAAAAGTCCATCAAAGTGACCTATTTTATAGTCAAAAGTCTCAATTGAAAATCTATTAGCAAAATAATTTTATTAAGTTATATGATACTTCTAACATCAATTAATTACATTTATATCCTGTTCTATGGTGTAATGACTTTTTAATATTAATTTTGATTTTAATTTAGGAGAGAAGTTATAAGTTTGCCTCAAGTTTTAGTGTTGAATGGTTTTTCCACATTTAGACAGTTTTCCATAAACTGAGTCCTTTTCCATTTTTCTAGTTAACAACTGGACATTTCAAAGCTTATCTTTTATTATTTGACTCATTTAATTGACTTTGAGGATAATAAAGAAACACAGTAAAATAGACAAACTAGAAATTACTACTGAATATATTTTATTTTGACCAGGTATTGTTCACATTTGGACATAAAACCAGTAACTTATTTTCACAAACATTGGAATTATAGTTCCTGTAACTGAGCATAGAAAAAGCCAATAAACTGAATTTAAAATAGAGCATGTTCATACTTTATATTAGTTAATCAAACCAACTAAAACATCTATAAAGGTCAACATTAAGTTTATTCATTCCCGCAATCAACAAGTTTCACCTCCAGTCCTTTCAACAAGAAAAGTAAACTGGCTCTGAAATTACCTGGGTCTGGATCTAAAATCCTCCCTACGTAGTTCATATATTTCTCTTTGGTTCTTGCTTCTTCATTTTAAGACAGAAATTGATGATGAAAAAAAGGTAGTAGAAGCAAAGTGCTTAAAACTGCCTCATATAAGTGATTGTAAATGTTTGCTACTACTATTACTATTATTATTCAACTTAATACTGTGATTTAAGTATTTCACTTTTAGCATATTCTATTTCCTCTTACTGTTTTGTCTTTGTAAATTCAATAAATTTCTTTAAGACTCAGCTAAGCACCAGTTCAAAGTGATCTGCCTCATCTGTGACTTATGTTGACCCTATATCTCATATTACAATTTAAGACATGAGTCATTTATTCTCTAAACATTTATTAGCCATAAAAAAAGTGCATGTTGCTTTAAGAAGAGGATGCTTGCTATATTTCTTTGCCTGAATATGACACGTAACACATGCTATAAAAACACAGCACAATTAATGTTGTACAGAATCCAAAGAGTTAACTGGTTACTGTTTATGACATCCTTTATTTTTGTTAGTCAAGTTAAAAACCACATTGCTCTACAAAGATCCAGTTTGGCTTTCTTTTGTTCTTGTTTAAAACAATAACTTGAGTTTCTTTAATGGTGACTCCATATGTGCCTTTAAATTGCAAAACATATTCTTGTGCACTAAAATTCTTCTGATTGAGTCCAACGAGGTCCAGAATTATATAGTTTTTCCCTCTACGATGTAGTTTCCAAAACAGGTTATATGTCTTGCTGTTGCATTACAGAATATAAATATAGCTCCTTTAACTTCAATTCCCTGAAGCCAAAACAGATATGCTTATTATTATCGACATAGTTAAGAGTTACAATTATTAGGCATAGCTTATATATGCAATATATGCAGTTTTCATTGTCAACAATGGAAGTTTTAATTATTTAATATTTATATATAGATTTAATTTCAGCCCATTAAGGATCTTGGATGAAGGAAAGGTAGTAGTCTAAATGATTAGATACCTAGAAAGTGATTTTTTTTTAATTTCTCAATTGTCTCATAGGTAAGAAATCTGGCTTATTGCTTTTTTTGCACAAACCAAAGTTCTGTTACTTTTTTCACAGGATCATAAAAGATTCAATAAATTCTGATTTGCATTTCAAATTCACCTCTTTTTTTCAGAAGGATATTACATTCAATGACAATTACATCACTGATCTCTTTAGCACTGGCAGTAGGAACCAAAGTTAAGCTCCTTCTGAATAAAATCCTAAAGGTGGAAGGGAAGGTAATATTATTCTTTAATCATAGTAACTTTTGATGATCTCTTTAATCCCTTTTTATTAATCAATATGTGTTCATTTAAGCCATTTCCTTTGGTTAGATGCTGCATATTATTTGTTCCCTATCATTAAGAAATATACATGTTGCTATTTTGCTATAGAAAAAAATTGGCCATGGTTGTGTGTGTGTGTGTGTGTATGTCTAAATGATACATATAAATATTTTGACATGTAGTACGGGGGAGAAAAGTAAATCTCGCTATTGAGTAAATGTTCTTATGAATCAATTGTAACTATTTTAGATTCTATATAATTTTTTCATCTATTTTGAAAGGAGTTACAGTCAACTCTATTGCGGAAACAATATAAAACTATAGAACTTATATTTCTGAAGATTAATACATTTTTCTGACTCTGTAAAGAAACAATCAATAGATCCACATAGAAGTCATTATAACAAGGTAGTATACACTTAATGCCGTGACGAGAAAATATCCTGATATGCACATAAGATGGACAAAAAAATAGAAGGAAAAGGAATGTTTAAAAGAAAGTAATGCCAATTTCCAAACAACTTAGTTATGCTACATTAAAGTAAAATAATTTTTTGTATAAAGTGGAGATTTCAACATATGTAATTTTCTAATTTGTTACTCAAATTGGAATCCTAGTTATTTTGTTTAAATTCATATTTTAAATATTTGAGTTATCCAGAAAAGTTATTAACCAATGATTATTTGTAGGACACTTGCATAAAGTGTTTATCTTAGAAAGTGTAGTGTTAAGATTGGGTAGAGAAATATAATCAGATCACAAAATAAGTGCAAACATCACATTTCTGTATTTTTAAATCTATGTATCAGCTTTGAATGCCCTGACCTTCTGGATCACATAAATTAAACCATTAAAGGACATATATCATTTTATGTAAAAAGTGGATACTTAAATAATTCTTCAATTACGTAAAAAAAATATTGTTACAGAGGGTATGGGGGAAGCAGAAAGAATAGCAGATTGCAAGTAGTAGGGTATTTGCACTGGCAGTTTGGTAGAGGTGAGTGAAGCAAGTGCACTTATAGAGGTGTGAAGCTGTACTCCCAAAATTAAATTATATAGTTACATAAATGATTGGAAAATCAATAAAATTTGAAAAAAAAAGTAAAGCAGGAGAATAAAGTGGTACTTAATAAACACTTATTAAATTTGATTGTGAGGAAGAGAATCAATGAGTTATTTAACTTTTTGTGACCAGAAAATTCCATAATTAAAAAAAAAGTAAACTGGTTACTTCAGCCAAAAGAGCTGATGGATTGACCATTATTTTAATTGTATATAATGCTGTGTGTATGTGGTTACAAGTTCAGAAAATCTAAAAACATTTCAAAAAGAAATCAAAATAAAAAACAAAAGCCACAATGCAATACCTGAAATATTTCTGGTAAATTTTGAATAAAAAGTCTGATCAAGTTAAGTATTGTGAAGTGTTTAGGAAGTTAGGAAGAAAGGTAGGAAATTTAAAGGTGGATTAAATAAATAATTATTCATGTCAAAATTGTGTGTATACTAATCATGTAATAAAGAGTAACTGGTATCAATAAAGAATTCTTGTATAAACATCAAGATAAAATTCCATTAATGTTTCTTTTTTCCGTCCCTGTTTAAATTTTTTATTTTGCCTGTTTTTAAGAAAATAAAGCATGAATTTTCCATTACTTTTTGAAGTATTGCTGTATGATAAAATGAAGTAAATGTTTTGTTTACTAAAACTGAATATTATAAGCTGTTTGTATTATATCATATGGATATAAAAACCTATTGATTACATGACATAGAATTCATATGATAAACTGAATCATGTGAACAGCTATCATTTTTATTTCCAAGAATCTGTCTGATTGTTAAAAATAAATCAGCAATGAGTTCACAGTTACTCCGTTTATGTTAAAGTACACACAAAGCTCTGTCTATTTCAACCAGAATAACTAAATGAAAGAAAAAATCTTTATCACTATCTAAACAATACCCATTCATTTAGGGTCTCCCCGGTGGCGCAGCGGTTGAGCGCTGGGTTGCGAAGCTACCCGCGGCCTCCGTGACGCCGGTTCGATCCCCGGATGCTCCCAGGACACCGGAGGAGGGTCCCACATGGCGCACAGACCTCTCCTGCCGCCCGCTGCTCCCCTCAGCAGTGTACTTCAGTCCTTCTGCCTGCTCTGCTCCCCACTCTGGCTCTGGTGAATTCTCTCACCCTCCCGCGCTTCTGACTGTACCCAGTGCATGTATAAACAAAACAAACAAACAAATAAATAAATAAATAAAACTTAAAAAAAAATAAAATAAAATAAACAATACCCATTCATTTAGATATTGAGAAGAAATTGTTTGATATGTACCGATGAAGAAAACATCCCATGTTAGATGTCTTGTCGACCAAACAAATATTTTTTTTAAGATTTAGTTTACTACCCATACAAGAGCTGGAGTGTAGGTCAGAAGTGTGGGGGTAGGGGATGAGAGGATTCACCAGAGACAGAGTGGAAGTGGAACAGGAAGACTACTGAAATACACTGCTGAGGGGAGCAGGGGGTGAGACAAGAGAGGTCTGCTGCGCCATTGTGGCTTAGCAACCTAGCCAGGGATCAAACTTCTGGTGTGGTGGCTGCAGATAACTTCATAATGCTGAGACTTAACTCCTTGCACCACCATGGAGGCCCCAATAAATAATTTGACTCAATTTTCCAGCTGAATGTCCGGGCAATATGTAGACACATTCAATAAATTACCTTACTTTTAAAAGATCTGGGTAAGTGCCAGGAAATTATTTACTTGTACTGAGATAATGCAGTTGTATATGACTTTGTAACTGTATGTGATATTAAGAAATGTAAATATGGGAGAGACAAAAATTTTCTTATTTTTAGAGAAAAAAATGCGTTAATACACTTGTGTTCAAAATTGTCTCTTTTCGGGCCTCCCTGGTGGTGCAGCGGTTGAGTGCTGGGTTGCAAAGCTGCCCACGGCCTCTGCAGTGCCAGTTCAATGCCCAGCCGCCGGCGAGGGTCCCACATGGCGCAACAGACCTCTCCTGCCACGCCCGCTGCTCCCCTCAGCAGTGTATTTCATCAATCTGTCTGTTCTGCTCCCCGCTCTGGTTCTGGTGAATTCTTTCACCCTCCGGCACTTCTGACTGTACCCAGTGCTTGTATAAATAAATAAATAAATCTTTAAAAAAAAAAAAATCGTCTCCTTTCCTTCAATGTATGTAGCTACTGAAAGAGACCACAGAATGTCTCCTAGTGGAAAAATAGACCAAAGGAAGGACATAGTTGGCAAGCAAGAGTAGAGAGCTGGTTGACAAGGCATAAAAAGAAAAGATCCCAGAGGCAAAAAATATGTGGGAACAGCAGTCATAGATGAAGGAATATGTGGGGAGTATACAAACTTGGAGAAGACAAAAAAGCAGATCACATCAAGTTTACAGATCTAAAACTCACACATTCCCTAGTCTTGGTGCTTTGTAATTTCAATATTCTAGATATATATATATTTTTTTTTTGCCATTATGCTCTGACAAAGTGCAGAGAGGTGAAAGAGAGTATGAATTTATTAACTGAACTAATCAGAAAGTTTTTGCCTAAACACTATCATTACAGGTTTAGGAAAATACCACTTTCGGTAGAGGCAAAAAATGTAAATTAAGGATTTGGTTTGATGCCACAGAGTCAAAAAATTATTTTCAAGTAACTACCACAATGTATTTGCCATTTTATGCACATGTTGCTTTAGACAGAAAAATAAATTACTAGAGAAAGAGAAACCCATCAGTTGTGTCTTCAAGAAAATGTGAGAAACTCAAAAAAATGTGTATAGATAATTTTAGTGATTCTGTTTTTTCTAAGGAAGAGTACTAATATTAGTCACAATCCACATTGTCTATTCTACTCTGTAGAAAGAATTGATCAAAAAAAGCCATCCACCTAGTTTTTCTGAAACTCCTTCCACCTAGTTTTCTTCCAAAAGAAATGCCACTGACTTGCACTTTCCAATGTCTGTTACAAAACCCCTAGGCAAGGCATTCACTGTACGTAATAATACAGAAAATAATGAAAATATGAAATAAAAGACAATAAAAAATTCTATTAAACTAGGCATAACCTTCCATAACTTTCTTTTCAAAACATTTAAGCATTTTCTTTATATTTTTGTACTTAAGACATCAACGGGTATCAGTAGAAAATTGAATACCTTAAATAACCCAGAGAGAAGAGAATATATGGGACCACATTCTAGAAAGGTGCCAGAAAATATTCTAAGAAGTGAAGTTTATTATAGTGTTCAGCAGTATTAAAATAAATAAATTAGCTATAAAAATAATAATAATACTGAACATATTGAACTGATTTTAGTATAACAGTTTCAAATGTTTCCAGCCAGGGACTTTTCTGACATTCAACTAAATTTCATAGACTTTGCTTTTTATTTCATTTGCCTTTCATACCCCAAGGCCAATGCTTAAAATAACTCCAGAATCAGGTTCCTTATATCATCCTCATCTGTGTTCCCCAAGACATTTCTTCTTTCCCCTATCTACCTACATCCCTCATCCATCAAAAGAACTATCCATCTCCTTTTCATTTGCACTACATTCTTTCTCACTCTCTACCCTTGAAATCCATTCTATGGGACCATGCTCTGTGTGAAAGTGCTATAATTAGATCCTTCTGGTTCATTTGGTAATAAACCCATCTGGATTTGATCCAATATGTATTAGTTTTATACTAAATCTGACCTATTATGGCTAGAATTACACTGAGAGTCCATTCCACAGTCTTTCTTTTTTCAATTGTGAGCAGTCATTCAAGGATTCTAGGCAGTAAACTATGAAAATGAAGCTTACATTAAGATAACTTAAACAACATATTATTAGGTGTGACTTTTCTGGAGAAGAATCAGGGACAAATACAACCTGATTTTGTCACCTGCTAATTAGAATAGTAGCTCTCAAACAATTTAACCAGTGTCCATTTTAACATGGCAAATGGTCCTGAAACTCACTTACCTTTCCTGGTGCTCATTTCCTTTGGAAATGTTACTCCTTGAGAACTATTAAATATCACTCACTGTAAAAAATTAAATTTGGGGGAGGAGATTAGGGTTAGATGATATGGGCAATTTACACGTGATTCACAATGCATATCTTAGTGTCAAGCTATTATACGATTAGAGGACAGAAAATTAGTGGTAAAGTTATGCCTTGCTACCCACTACAACAAAGTGGATAATGATGATGCTAAACTGAAAGGAACTTATATAAAATAAAGCCAAGAATAATAACTGAAAATTACCACCACTACAATATAGTCTTCGTAATGTTCTTACCAGCAACCTTCCTGAGGTTTGCAGGAATGCCATGCTCTCTAGAAGCTTCTAGGAATTGCAAAGCACTGTGTGGCCACCAGACTTCTTAATAGAAGAAAGAAATCTATCAAATCTAGCATTTTATAAATTTTGGTTTAAAAATACTAAATTATGGTAATCCTGATTAAATTACATAGTATTTTACTAGTAACTTGGTTTTAATTATATACTAAGATGGAATTCCTATAGAAGTGCTTGTCAGTGCTCCAAAAGGACAAAGAAAAAAGTCACACAATTGTAGCAGTTTACAGACTATCTCTGGATCGATCAAGGAACTTAACTTTTTTAAAATCTCATTCACCTTCTGAGACGCTGAAAAATTAGATATACATTTGTTTGTTATGGTAATAGAGAATTTTTTCAAGGATCATATGTGCCTCATTTGGATGACAACTCTGTAACCAAATACTACAACTCACTTTTGGTTCCTAAATATGCATTTGTGCTCAGGATTTCACTGGATCAAGCTGCATTCCCTTAATTGTCTAAGACTAATAAGAAGTGTGTACTTCCTAAATAAATGAAGGGACCTCCTGAGTAAAGGTCAACCAATGCCATTTGAAATCTGGTGAAAATTTGTTTGAATAAAAAAAATGGTGAGAGAGTTAAGTGATGTGACAAGCTAGCACTGATACACCAAACTCAAAAGAGGCTGATTGTCATTTAAGTTGTGAGCTGCAATTTAATTTCCACAAAGCAACTTCTTCTGTCCATTAAATTAATTATGTTAATTTAAACTTTATTAGTTTTGTTGTTTTTATTGAATTGAACTTGTAAAATGGTTTTCCTTATACATAGCTATATAAAGCTGATAAGTACACAGAGTTTATACCTATTTTTATGTTTAAACGTGTTTAAGTAATACTATAATAAGAATAATTAAATCAAAGCTTAGTATCATTAAGAAACTTTGCTCTTAAAAAGGGTCTATGCAATAGTGCCCTAGTCTGTGGCACAGAGAAGCCGTTATGTGGCCTAGTCACAGTTTGTCACAGCTAATCCTCAAAAGAACAAAGCCATAAAATGAATGGCGCAGACTGAACCTATGGAGAAAATGGGCACAGAGATTAGAAAACATTCTGTAGTCAGCTGTGAGGATTATAGTATGGAACTGCTGAACAAAAAGCTTCCCCATGGCCTTTGAAGATTTCTAGAATATTATCACCAGGGAAACTCAGACAACTAGCACTCCCTGGTTCTTCTAAAGAATCCTACAAAAGCTCTAAAAAATTTCTCTCAAACTTCCAGAAATAATGTATTTTGCCAATTCTCCCTTGTCCTCACATCAAAGCAAATACAAAGTTGGGTTTACCTTCGTACTCTTGAATTAGAACCCTCCTCAACTTTTCCATTGTCACTGCCATTGCCAAAACCTGACTCCACTTCTTGACTTTCCTCCAATGTTTCTTTACTGTGAACCCTTCCTCCACTTCAATCCATTTTACACCTGTTTGCTATTTCCACGTCAAAGTTCAGATCATTTTGTTTGCATGATCTAGGAGCAATGAATGTTCCACATTGCCAACTAAATCAGGCACTCAAGACAATCATTCTGTTGCTCAAAGTTGTTTACAAAGTGGCGTCAATTTCTTACCGAATGTTTCCCTATATATCCTACACTTCAACAATACATTATTGTTAAACCTATCACTTTTCACAACACTGTGCATTTAAACCAGCTGCTTCTTTAAAAGGAAATGCTTTCTCCAATATCCAACTGTCATAGGACCATTTCCTTAAGAAAGAGACCCTGAGACCCTGAAATGTATTTATAGGGGTTTGGAGAATCCTCTCTAGGGTGGTATCTATAAAAGAGCAAGGAAACAGGATTGCTTGGGCAATGAAGTTAAACTTGGACAAAATTGCAAGTGTATTCAGTTGATCTTAGTGAGAACAGGAAGAACTAGGAAGGCATTTCAGAGATGTCCCTAATCTAAGAAAGCATTCAGGCAGGTCTTTGTATCTGTGCCTACCAGTCATTGGATGTAAGCTGCCCTGAAAATGTAGCACAGCCTTTGGCAAGGCAATTTTCTTCAACTGTGGATAAGAGAAAGGGAGGTAGTTATCTGTGAACAATCAATAGTCAACAATCAGGTGCTAAACATAGATATGCATAGCACAAATCATCATCTCAGCTGACCCCTTGTGCAACCCAGATCTATTTGCTTCATAAAGCAGGCTCACCCTATCTAGGAAAAATGTCAGAATTGTGGTTGATCTCCTTTTTAACTCATAAGAGAAGGTTGGTGAGTCAAAGGCATACCCAAGATACATATGATATTCATTATCCTTCCTCCAGTATTTGTTGTAATTCTCCTACTCCTACCTAGTCTAGATCTCTGTCTGCTTAGGTAAGCTACTTTGTAGGGTGCACAAGACCCTAAACCTTGAGAGACCTGGCCCCCTGAGAAATTACTCAGGCCTTCATTGCTCCACCATTTGATTTTACCATCAAATTGTGATAGGGAGTGCCAAAAAATGGCCCAGTGGATCACAAGGATATCCATTCTATTCTTCTGTACTCCTATGTTGTAATACCAGCCCTGCTTCTTCCTAATTTTAGGGACCAATTAACCTACAAAACTCACCACTGCTTTCCTTGTCTGTTGGTTTCTTGGAAAAGGAATTTGATGTGACTAGGTAGGAATCATCACATAAGGTTTACTTATTTATTTATTTATTTATTTATTTATTTATTAATTTTTTACATCATTGTTCCTTTTTAAACAATGTTTGCTCCCCCCCATGCAGGTATAGTCCCAATAAAATTTCTTTCACCAATTCACCTGTGCACCATCACCACAGTCCCATGTGTTCCTCCCTCTCTCCCTCTGATCCCTCTCCCTTCTCCTCCCCTGCAGAATGTCTCTGGTTTATAATTGTCTGTTTCTGTTTTGTTGTGTTGTGTTTTGTATTGTTATTTTCCCCCCTGCTATCTGATTTTGTTCCCCTATATTCCTGCTATAAGTGAAACCATCCAATATTTTTATTTTTCCTTCTGACTTATTTCACTAAGCATAATTCCTTCTGGCTCCATCCAAGTTGCTGCAAGTGACATTAGTTTATCTTTTTTGATTGCTGAGTAGTATTCCATTACATCACATAAGGTTTAATGGAACCCATGTGATATCCCTTGGGTAATCTCTGAGAGCAAGCATTGCTACACATATAAAGTCTAGAGTTACAAATAAAAGAAGCACAAACTGCATAAATAGGTCACTGCAAAAGATGATAAGTGAGGCCACTTAGATCTCTATGCCTTGATCCCTAGATTATATATGCCACCTATGGGGTATGAAACATCATATAACAGTCATTCAATCAAATACTGAATTCCATGGGGCTGTACCTATCCACAAATTGGCTCCTCAGTTGTACCTTCCAGATATTGTTCAACCAGTAACCACTGAATTGTCAGTGTGTAATAAGACCAGTGTACCCCATCATAAGCTCACTATCTCCATTGTTGCAAAGTTGTTTCTTGCATTGTTGCAAAGTTGTTTTCTTTGGTCCAAGAAAATTTTAATCAGTTTTCTATGTTGATGGCTCAAACCATCAAGCAGTGGTATTGGCTGAAGTTCTATAAACTAGAAATGGAATAAGGAAAAATATGGAAAATTGAATATGCTCAGACTATGTTATTCATTTCAGTCAATATCAATCTCAGTCCTTTCCAGAGTAAAAGGAATTCTGTGGAACTAACTTGTCATCAAATCGGTTGGTGATACCCTGAAAGACTGGAGTTATATCAGAGGTTTTTCACTGGTTTCTGTTGACATCATTGTATACCATTCCTGCCCAGTGAAATAAGCCAGAAAGAAAAAGAAAAATACTGGATGGTCTCACTCATAGCAGGAATTTAGAAAACCTAAATAAGGGACCAGGAAAAAGACTAATTATAATAAAGAAAAAATCAAAATCAACAAGCAACTATAAACCAGAGACACACTATGGGGGGTTGGGGAAGAAGAGGGATTAGGGTCAAAATAATGGGGGGCCAAATTGTATGGGGAATATAACCAAAATGAAAATGCATACATTGTGCAAAAATGAAAAATGATGTAAGAATTATATAAAATAAAATATATTAAAAATAAAAATAATAAATAACAATAGTAGTTAGATCAGTCTAGAGAAATAGAAATAGACTGAGTGATGTTGCCCAAATGATTCATTTGTAACATTCCTATAGTGGGTACTCTGGTGGAAATAAATGCAAAGAGAACCAAACTTTGTGCCCACACACATACATCTACTTAGATGCCTCTTCTGTAAACCTCTTATTCTGAATATGCCTTTCTTTTTCTTTTCAAACCATGTAACTAATGAACTGAGTCATTGACACTGTCCACAAGCCCAGATGTATTCTTATCTGGAGCCATTTCTCTTTCCACACAAAATACTTCACTGTGTTCACTGACAAAAACTGAACTTGATGAGTGCATTATTCTTTGCCACACTCTTCTGGGACTATCCTTGAGTTGAGCTCTAATAGACTTGCATCCACCTTCCAAAACAAATGAATTACGAATTATTCTCTTCTATCCATGAGCCTTGGTCATAAGGGACAACACCTCACGTGACTATATGTGTGAGCTAAGGGAAAGGCAATAATGCAACTGTGATAGGTGACATAGGATCCTGGATCATTTGTTCAAACCTCTTACTTGCATCTTATGGCACTACTCACACTCCATCCCAAGTGAAATACTTCCATGTTATGATGGTCTTATAACTCAGAGGGTCTATGAGAATCCAGTTCACAGTGAGGATCTCTGGATCACTGAGAAATTTTTATTGCATGATCAAATTATTTATGTCTACCAGAACTCAACAGCACAGAAGTTGCTGTTTATGCAACATATATCAACAGCTCTATGATGTAGCTGACACGACTAGGTCCAGATAACTACATGTCTATGTTGTGATTCTATTTTAGTTTTACCCTACATATATCTATGTAGGGTAGATAAAAGGGTAGAAAAGATTGTATATTCTAAGTGGCAAGACTGCTTGAAGTCTGAATTGTGCAGAGCATATTCTTTAAAGGTGGCATTCTTTGGTGTCACTAAGTAAAGGGGTTGGAGCAATAATCCTAAGAGTGTAATATATTACTTCCAGTACCTAAAGCCTAAGAGGTACCACATTGATGTCTTAGTGGTAGGAGCATAAGATGCAATCATTTATCCTTGTCTTAGAAGGAATGTCCTGGCATGCACTAAACTCCTAATTATTTCAACAATGATTCAGTTCCTGAATCTTTGTACTATTTATCTCCAATCTTTTAGAGTGCACATTCCTACTTAGGCCTTCATTGCACTTGCCATTCTTTTCCCCCATCTACTCTGGTTAGCATGTTATCAATATAGTATTCCTACGTGGTACTATGTGGCATATATAAATTGTTTTGATCCCTGCAGGTTATATACTGATAGAGAGCTCAAAATATGGAGCAAGACAATAAATACATACTCTTGTCTACCTTATAAGAATTCACTTTACTCTGGCCCTCCTTTATGAGGATGGACAAGAATCATATTATAATTCAGTGATAATATCCTATGTGCCATTAGCCATGTTAAATATTTGGCAAAAATAGCACATATAGCATAGTAACTTCAATTGGTGTTACTACTGGGTTGAGTATACAGGTCTGTTTTTATCTTTTAGATTCCATCTGTGTTTCCATAGAAACTAGGTTGGTGAATTAAATCAAGGATATGATGGATACCATCACCCCTACATCCTTGAGTTCTTTAACAGTTGCACTAATATATGCCATTCTTTCTAGGATGCAGTATGTGTGTGTGTGTGTGTATATATATATATTTTTTTTTTAAAGATTTATTTATGTATGTATACAAGAACTGGGGTCCAGGCCAGAGGTGTGGGGGGTAAGAAGATTCACCAGAGACATAGTGGGGAACAGAACAGGCAGATCAACTGAAACACACTGCTGAGGGCGACTCAGGAGAGGTCTGCTGTGCCATGTGGGCAGCTCCCTGGCCGGGGATTGAACTCGTGCTGCAGTGGCTGTGGATAGCTTCCTAGGTTGTGTTTTAACCCCTTGAACCACCAGGGAGACCCAGTATATATTATTTTGATCAACTATCTTGGCTAGGATTTTTGAGGAGCAGTTTCAGAGGCTTCTGGCTGGCCTTGCTTATGATAACTCACATTCCTTAGTATGAAAGTTTCAATGTGAGGGGCTTGCCAACTGCCAAGTATGTTAATTTTGGGACCTCATATATGACATTCTAACAGGTACCCCTGATATCAAGATCAACTGAAATCCTATGTCCAATAGTCCTCAAAATGTAAAAAAAAAAAAAAAAAAACAAAAAAAAACAAAACACTTTATCTATTACACAGTAGTATGTATACTTTGGGAGGAAGAACTAGGGTATTAATTATTACCTTTTTGCTATAGTAACAGGGTCTTTCTTTCTAAGATCTTCAGTCAGTAATGAGTCCAGGTCTGAAAATAGACTCAGTTGAAGAAATTGAACAAGGGATATGATTTTTTATATGACAGCTTATATAACCTAATTTATTCTTAGGTTAACCTTAGATTACCCATATGGACTATCATTAGGTTATCCTTATGGTTATCATTAGCTTTGGGTATGAATTTTTCCTTTAAAATTGTACGGATAAAAATACTCTTGTCATTGACCCATTAATATAGAAATAATGTATTCTATAAATCATTTCCATTGCTATTAACAAGTCAACATCTTCCCACATCCTGGTCATCATTTCAATCTTCCCTTGTATCATATCATATAATGCTTCCAAAGTTTCCATGATTTGAGGATTTTGTTATGAGAGTAAAGTTCTTTCCCCCACTTAGCAGATTCTGAACTTATCCATTTGATTTACTATTGTTATTTAAGTCTATGTGTTGGTTCTTGTGGCCAGAGGGAAGGAAGGTAGGGTTAAATTCAGAAGGCATATATGCTGAAACCTCTACATTTGAAACCTCTACATTATCTTGGAGCAGCAGCCTTCAACTGGGATCACTTCTGTAGTCTCAGAAGTTCAGAGAATCTAAGGAGTGAAGAATTTTAGCACAAACATTCAGATGCACTTAACCCACTTTGTTTTTTTTTTTTTTCGTTGTCATAGCAAGTTTGCTAAGATGGAGAATTCAACTCCCTCTGGAATTTGTTAATTTTATAATTAAGCACTAAGTTGACCCTGTGTCTTCCAAATATAGGAAATGTGATTTTCACACTTACCTTCTAATTGGTGATTACTCTGAGACTTCATAGGCTTTCCTCAATGCATACATTCCAAACAGTATCACGTATCTAATACCGTAACACTTAAAATTTCCCTCAAACTTCTTAAACACCTGAGATCAAAGTATTTCAGGCATTTTGACCGCAGGATAGAACTGAGTAAAAGACTCCAGAAAGGTTGGCTGTCTGAAAGAGAACAGGAGGACCTTGAGCCTTTGAGGTTAAAGATAAGATAAAGAGGTATTTCCATATGATGAGGGTTATAGGGAGTAAAGTAATACTGTTAAAGTCAAACTTTGTCTTGTTTGCTCTTTGACCACATCTTTCCATCAATGATCAGAGGACTGCCTTTGAGCCGTATCAGAAAACCTACCACAAGGCTCACTCTGCTTTTAGAAAATAAGGTCAAAAGAAGTAATGAATGGCTCTGTGGACATTTTTTCCAAATTCCTTGACTAGGTAGCACTGCAGATAGTAAGGATCACAAATACTCTTTTCTAATCAAGATTGATTCATGATATATGTTTATATGTGTGGGGGTGGGGTGTACGTATATATGTGTATATGCATACATACACACATCTTTATCATGTGTGTGCACATACACATGTGTATTTACTATGCTTATTTTGTTTATCTATTGTATTTATAGAAAAACACATATATTCCATGTGTCAATGGCTCAATATATATTTTTTCATTTTAGGATTTTTTAATATTTCCTATTATAACGGATGGGCTTTGGCATCAGAATATCTGAGTTTGAATCCTGTGTAAACCAATTATGAGCCATCTTTGAATATTCACTTGAGCTGAGTTTCCTCCTCTATAAAACAAAAGATAATAGGAAAAGCTGTGCTAGCACTATCTTAATGATCAAATTAAGAAATCAATATAAACGGATAAGTCACTACCCCTACAATTAGTTGTGATAATGACAGGCCAAGTTCAGTAACTTCGTAAAGAACTTTGTAAAGGCAATTGTTGATAAGGATAAGGTCTTCTCGTCAATACTTTATTTGGGGCAAGTGAAAAACCCCATCATGCTCTAAATGATTATTTTAAGTAATAAAAGTGCTTTAGAAGAAAAGTCTACTATTAACCCATTGACTGATTGAATGGTTGATGTTCATGGTGATTATTGGTTAATGTTCATAGTGTCAAAAAGTTGATGGAGAGAGCATTTTAGTTGTCAAATATCTATAATTTTATGTCACTTATTTATGAAGAAAATCTCAGGGTCTAAAATTCATATATGGTCCATTGATTTTTTTCACAGTGGTACCAAGGTAGCTCCAGGAGAAAGGATTTATATTTTTTTCAACATATTATGCTGAAATAACTAAATATCAGTGTGTGGGGGGAATTAATCTCAATCTTACCCTAATGTGCATACACAAAAATGCTAATTCTAAGTGAATCATAGATTAAAGCAAAAAGCTAAAACTACAAATCTTCTAGAAAAAGATAGAGAAGGAAAACTTTTTCCCTTCAGAACTGCCAACAATTCTTAAGAAAGTCAGGAAAACTATAGAAGAAAAATGATTATGTAAACCTTACCAAAAAATCTGCTTTTTGAAAGACACCTTTAAGAAATGAAAAGATAATCTATAAACTGGGGAAAGCAGTCACCATACATTCTAGCAAAGAACTTGAATTCAGGCTATGTTAGAACTATTTCAATCAATAATAAAAAAATGAAATAATAATCAGCAATAAAAAGGAACAAAGTGCTGATATGAATGACTTTGAAATATGTTAGGCTGACTGAAATAGACAAGCAGAAAATCTACAGACCTTGTGATTTTATTAATGTAAAGTCCTAGAGCAGATAAAACTTCTCTATTGTGAGGGAATTGGATCAGTATTTGCCTGGGGTTGAAGATGGGTAGAGGAATAACTGACTACATGAAGGAACTGTTAGGTGTAATACAAATGCTTTATAATATCTTCATTGGAGAGGTTTCAGTGTTTACAACTCTCAATTTGTTAAAAGGTGTGTTAATGATAAGTTGGCATTTTTTTTTTTTTTTAGTGGAAGTCCAATTATGTTTGTGCTAAGGGAATCCTCTGATAATATTTGTGACCACAGGTTGTACCCTTGTTTATTGATGGAATGAGTCTAATGTAGAATACAGATCTGGTATTAGTAAAATTCTATTCTAGTGCAAGCTCCTTCATGTGTCACTGTGAACTTGGGCAAGCCATTGTGATCCTGGATTCTTAACTGTAAAACTGGGAATATATTTAAACTAACATTTATTGAATACCTACTATAACCAAGGACTCTGCAGGATACTGACAGTGCTTCTAGAATGCCTTTGACAGCATAAAACCTAATAACATTTTTCTGGTTTTGAGTCTTGAGGATGCTTCCTTTCTTCTCTCAACCCATTTCAGCATGATTCTCCTCCTTCCATTAATTTATTTGTAAAATATATCCATATATATGTGCAATGTATGTGTATACATATATCTTGCCTCTCAACCAAAAAAAATATAGGTACTTTATGTTAATCTTTTTATTCCTTTTACCAACTATTCTCACATTTAGCATTCATTCAGCAGTTATGCATAGTAGGTGCTAGATGAAATTTAAGTATATAAAATATTAATAGCTATTATCAAAGGAAGAATCAAAAAATGTCATAATAGAAATTTAAAGAATTTACTCTGAATAAGTAGAACTTCTTAAGCTTCTCACAGAAGTTTAATTGCATTATCTCAGAAGATAACCTAGGAAGACAAATAGACATTTTGTACATAGAGAATTCAGACTCAGTGTAGCCTAATAATTTGTAGATAAAGTCTGGATTCATTAAAAAACAAAACTATGCATTCCCATAGCTCATAATATTCTAATCATATTTTCCATAGTATCACACATTAAAAGTATTGGAAAATGTTCCTAAAATTGGTGATCTTTGAGATTGATCTTGAGGTCAGGTAGAATTCTGAAAGCAAAGCTAAGGACCATTAACAAAGGTCAGAATTTGAAGTTTGGAATATGATTGAGGAAACAATAATCCAGGTCAGCTATAGATTGTGATTTGTGGATAGTTATCAAAAATAATATGAGGCAATAATATGAGGCAAAGCTATTAATATACTTTTGCTCTTTTTAAAACGTTTATATTATGTTAGTCTCTGCTCAAAAATACTTTAGGACTTTCCACTTCTTTCAGAATAAATCAAAGATAATTTCCAAATGACTTCTATGGGTGGCACACTGAGCTCACTAACACTACTCTTCTTCTTTTACCCATTTATTTTCCATCCATATTAACTTTCTTGCTACTTGTTTAACTCACCAAAGTGCTACTTCATGGTGACTACATTGGCATTTCCTAGGTCTGGAAATTTCTTTCCAGATATAATTCTATAGGTTGGTCCCTTGATACTTCCAAGTTTCAATTCAACTGTCTTGCCCTAAATTTGACTTGCCCAGTCATCCTATTGGGATGACTTACCAGCATCCTTTACTCTCTAACCAAATACACAGTTTTCATTTTATTAATATTATTGGTTTCTAAACAACATTAAAATAACTGTCAAGGTGATCAAAAAACAAGGAACATCTAAAATAAAATGACAGCCAAGAGATTTCTAAGAATATATGACAACAAATATAATTTGGTATCCTGAATGGGATCTTGTGTAAAAAAAAAAAAAAAAAATTAACATTATATAAAATGTAAAAAAATCTGAATAACTTTGAACTTAAGGTTAGTAATAATAATATAAGCTGTTAATATAAGAAAATCTGGGTATGAAGGAGCACTGTACTGTCTTTATATAGTTTATAATTTTTCAGGGCCTCCCTGGTGGCTTAAGGGGTTAAGTCTCAGCACTATCAAGCTATTGCCAGCCACTGCATCATAAGTTCAATCCCTCGCGAGGGAGTTAACCCACATGGCACAGCAGACCTCTCCTGTCTCACCCCTCTGCTTGTCTCAGCAGTGTATTTCAGTAGATCTTCCTGTTTTGCTCCCCTCTCTGTCTCTGGTGCATTCTCTCACTCCCACACCTCTGGCCTACACCCCAGCTCTTGTATGCATAAATGAATAATTCTTTAAATATATATATATATATAATTGTTCTGCACATCTAAAACTAATCTAAAATAAAAAGATTATTTTTGAAAGTGTATGTGTGTCTACTGTTTGGTTGTTGTCCATCTCCCTAGAAAATTCTTGCTCACTGTTTTATTATCAGTCTTAGAACAAGACCTTGCACATAGCAGACACTTGATAAATATTTGTTTAATTAGGTAATCAATCAATTGTGTCATTTATACTTCGCACAAACCTTACGATGGGTTATGCGATCTTAGTGACATTTGTTAGATTATATAAAAGAGCAAAAGTTAGAACCATGATTCAAACTCAGTTCAGTCAAATTCCGACATTAATATATTTAATCAGAATTTGGGACTGAAAATCAGAGTACTGAATTTATACTTAACATATGTACAGAAGGAAACCATGGAAGATTTTGAGCAGTGAGAGTAGCAAAGTGGCTCTTTAAAGTGAAGAATGGACTTAGAAGGGCAGAGTCAGTAATGGGAAGGCCAATTTGAAGATTATGGCAATGATACAGATGAAAAGAAATGAGACTTAAGCTAAGTGGCAATGGAAATAAAAAGAAATACATAGGTGTAAAAGATATTTTAGTCTAGGAATTTACAGCACTGACAAGTGGTTCCAGGTATTGAGCAAGGGAAAAAAAATAGAGATTAAATTTAAGTTATGAATCTGGATGACTGAAGAATGTTATTCTCATCCCTTGGAAGTGGAAACAGTAAATTTTCTCTGCCATTCTTACGCATCCACATATTTCATTTGGTTAACATAAGCAGAAAAATGAAATTTATATACAGAAAAATTGAAAATTCTCTTTAAAAAGTTTAACACAGACAAAATGTAAATTATTTTCAAAATGACTTTATAAGATTTCTCAGTGAAAAACTAGAACAGGAGAGTTTATTACGCTGCTTTAGTATATGCTTTGGTTTATCTGACAAAGCATTATGAAAGGTTTTCATATCTCAGTTATAAAACTTTGATAATAAAAAAAAAAAAACCTCCCTGTAGAAAGCATATTGAGACCTCTACTCTCCACATCAATCTTGGGGTTATTAAATGATAATTATTGCTATTACTTAATATCTATCTGAGACTAACATA